ACAATCCCTCCTCCCCATCCTCTTCCCCGCAACCCCTCCTCCCTTCCCCCTCCCCTCAACATACCACATTCCCTACTCTCAGCATCCCTCCCCCCCTCTCACCCCCTCCCCCCGCCCAAGCAGTCAGGTGGGCTGAGTCTTTATTGGCCAGAGGTTAAGGTCCCGAAAGGCGCGGGCGTGTGGGCGCGTGTGTATTCACCGTGTGTTTTATCTAATTCTTTTTACTTATTATTCTATTCGTTTGCTTGTTTTGTTAATTTGTCAGTTTGTTTGATTTGTTCCGTTGTTAATTTTGTCTATTTTCGTTTATCAATTTCTTTGTTTATTTACTTGTACATTTATTCCTTTATTTATGTACTTTTTTGTATTTACGAGGAAGGGAGGTGAGAAACTGAGAAGAGGCTGTATTAAATCATGGATGGGTGGGAGGTAAGAAAGAAGAAAAGAGACAAAAGGATAGAGTGAGAGAGAAAAATAAATGCACAGAGACAGATGGAATGATTGAATGACTGACTGACTGACCAGCTAACTAACAGATAGACAGACAGAGAGAGACTTTAACAAAAAGAGGAATAAAGGAAGAGAGAGAGTAAAGAAGACAAACATAGAGATCGGAAAGGACCGTAAAAGGTAAACATAGAGAGATAGATAAGCAAATGAACATATACAGATATAGAATATTATTGTCACTGTTATAATATTAATTAATGATTATCTGTAAAGTTATGACGATTGTAACGATGTACATTTAATTAGTATATATGAACCCCACCCATGTTATTAGTGAGTTTTACAGTTGTTGTTTTTGCTTCTGTTACTGTTTTTTCATCATTATCTTCATCATTATTGTCACTATTCTATCATCATTATTTTTCAGAGATTTTTCAGAGGAGGGATGGAAATTTTCATAAAATTTGGATTTTATTTTTTTTCCTTCCTCGTCATTCTTTATATTATTTACTTTCATTTCCCCATCTTTGTCTTCTTTCGTTTTTTTTCTTTTTTCTTTCTTTGTTTCGTTTTTTTTTTTCTTTTTTCTTTCTTTCTTTCGTTTTTTTGCTGACTGACTTTACTGTAGGTCAGTCCTTTGTGTTTTTTGTATCTTGTATTATGGCAAATTATTCTTATATTTATTTTATTTCCCAGAATTTATTATGTATCTGTGTTTCGTCTTTGTATTTATTGTTTATTTTCTTTTCTTTGTTTTATTATTATTGTGGCAGTTTTTAATGAAGATGGTGGTTTTTGATTAATGTCATATATATATATATATATATATATATATATATATATATATATATATATATATATATATATATATATACACACACACACACACACACACACACACACACACACACACACACACACACGCACACACACACACACACACACACACACACACACACACACACACACACACACACACACACACGCACACACACACACACACACATACACACACGCACACGCACACACACACGCACACACACACACACACACACACACACACACACACACACACACACACACACACACACATACATACACACATACACACACACACACACACACACACACACACACACACACACACACACACACACATATATATATATATGTGTGTGTGTGTGTGTGTGTGTGTGTGTGTGTGTGTGTGTGTGTGTGTGTGTGTGTGTGTGTGTGTGTGTGTGTGTATGTGTGTGTTTATGTATGTATGTATATATGAATGCATTTATGTATGTATGTGTGCGAGAGAGAATGGGAGACAGACATACAAACAGAGAGGCAGACGGATTGCCATGAACACACAAAGAAATCCGTTAAAGAGGAGCCCGATGTATGTCGCCGAAACGCCGTGATTACATGTAATTGTTGACTTGCATTGTACGCTTGTCAGGGCTTAGTGCAGGTTGTGTGTAGGCGCGTGCTCGCAAACACGCATGTGTGTGTTAACTGAAAACCCACTCAAACGTATCTCCAGTTTGTTCCAAAACGAGTAAATGTTTCGCTTCATAACCCACATAAATCCTGATCTTCCATAAAATCAGCCAAAAAAATACACATTTTAAAAGCAAGACAATGATACACACTTAAATAACTCGTGTATGACTTACATACACACAAACATACGATGAACATCTAAGTATCTACCATCTGACCGCATGAACATATCTGGCTAAATTATGTTTTTTTTCTTATATCTTACCAGTATCCATTCCTGATCGTCTCCGCATCTAAAAATTTAATCACCTGAATAAAACAACTTCAAAACTTTTTTACATTCAAACCCTTAAAAAATCCAACCTCCTGAGCATCTAAAAATATAATGACCCGAACATCCAGAGCCAAACCATGCAGATCGAGGGCGTGTGTGTGGGCGTGTGGGCGTTACGAGGTCTCCGGAGTAGTGAAATGCCAGCACGGGGAGCCTCTGAATGTCGCCATAAATAAATCATTCTACCCGTTGGACTGCGACATTCACTTTTTTTTTCTTTACTCTATCTTCTCTTTCTCTCTCTCTCTCTCTCTCTCTCTCTCTCTCTCTCTCTCTCTCTCTCTCTCTCTCTCTCTC